ACTATACCGTCCTTATTTAACTTTTTGTTTATAGGGGCACGATATTTTACGGTTATTACAAGCCGCTTACGGGTTTTTTACGTTTTTTTTCGGTAGCCAGCCGGTTTTGGCACGTTAAAACATTTTTTTGGGCCATTCCTTTGGCTTTTGTTATTTTTTTCCTGTAATACCCCCGTCTTTTCCGGGTATTTTACCCGCTAAAGTCCGGTATTTTCCTTATCCTATAAGCTCGTTTCCAATAAATTTGCTTTATACGCTTAAACAATTTTTTTCGTAATATCCTTTTTTAAAATTTACGAATTTTCCGATTCGTTGTAATTTATTTATTTAACTAAATATTTTCGTTTTCGCAAAAGCCCTTTATATTTTAGCAAGGCTTTTACTTCGAAGCGTATTTTTTTTTTCGATTTTGGTTTTTATTTTTGGTTTTTTGCCGGGCTTTTTTTTAAACGCCCGCAACAAATTTGCCGGGAATACGTTATATATCCGGTAATTTATTAAAAGTTTTAACCGGAACGCCAAACCGGTTAACCCAACCATTTTTAAAATTTAAAAAGGTCCTAACTATTTATTCGATAACTTTTTTAACGGCCTTTTTATTTTAATGTTCGTTGTATTTAACAATACCCAATCGCTTACCCCGAAAAGCACCGGGGTTTTGCCTTTATTATAGTACTTTTTGTACATATTATTCGCTTTTTTTAGCAATTTTTTGGCTTGCTTTTTAATTGCTTCCAAAGCCCCCGCTTTAATTTTAACCGTTACCGAAGGTTTTTTTTTAATTACCCAAAGGTTATAAAGCTTTTATAAGTAAAACTTTATTAGCAAAAACGTTAAGGTTTTTTGCAACCCCGAATGTACGCTCGTATTGTATATTTACGCTGCTAAATGCAATAGCAACGCCCAATCGTTTTGCTTTTTGCAGCAAAAGCACCGGAAATAATGCTTTATTATTTGGTTCGTTCGTTCCGTTTGCCCGTCGGTTTAAAAGTAATATGCTATTAATAGCCTTTTTGTAACCTTTAAATGTCCGGCAAAAGTTGTTTAAAACCCGTTTGTAAATAGCTTGTTCCGGTTCGATACAATCCTTTCGGGCGTTTTTAATAACCTTTAAACGTATGCAAATAAAAGGTTCCCCAATTTTTTATTGGTTAATTTCGTAGCCGTTGGAATAAAAAAGCTATATTTGGTAAACCGGTCGACCATTACCAATATTGCGTTGCGCTTTTTGCCGGCTCCATTTACTAACGTTAAAAACTTTCCAATAAAATCCATTAATAGCTTTTGTTCCGGGCGGTTTGGTACGGGCAAAAATGCTAATAGCCCGTAAAGTGCTTATATTTTTGGCTTTATTTGCTGGTATATTTAATACGTTCGTACGTATTTGCGTACGTTTTTAGCTATACCCGGCCATTTAAACTGCCGTTTAAACTTTTTTAAAATTTTGGCTATGCTTTTGTAACCCCCCGTCGGGTTATTATATTGTTTTTAAAGCATTGCCCGTTGCAACGGCGTTAAATTCGGGACCCAAACTTTTTTTTTATGCTTAAATAAGCCGTTGCTAATTTTTTAAACGTTGGGCTTGCTTTTTTAAGTACCGTTTTAAACGAAATCGTTTTTTGCTTGTGCTTCGAAAATACGCTTTAATATCGTTTTGGTATCCTTTTTAATAATGGTCGTTTTTACGTAAGTTACTTTTCGGAATTTAATTAATAAATTGCTTTGGAATTTTTCCTTTGCTATATTGGCCTTCCCGTTTATTAGTATGTTTTAAAAACGTTTTAACAAGCTATTTGCGGGGTTTCGATATTTTGGTTTTCATTTAATCGTAAAGTCGTACTTTGCTAAATTTTTAAACCATTTTGCTTAGCGCTTTATTACCTTTTCCTTTATTAAAATATGGGTATAATTTAAATGGTTGGTAATTATTTTAACAATTTTTTGTAAATAAGCTAAATAATGCCGTTATTTTTCGAAAGCTTTTACGATCGCTAACAATTTTAAATTAAAAATTGCATAGCGCAGCTTTTTTTATCGTAATTTTTTCGATATGTAAATTACCGGGTGCTACCGGCCGTTTTGCAGCTGCAATAGCACCGTTTTTATTGCAAAAGCCAAAGCGTTAATCCGTACGTACACCGATTTCGAAAGGTTAAAATGCATTAATACCGGAACTTTCGTAAATAGCAGCTTTAATTTGCAAAAAGCCTTTTTCGCAACATTTTTTAGGTAAAATACGGTGTTTTTGCTAAAAAGGTTTGTTAAAAGCACAATAATTTTTGCATAACCTTTTACGAATTTCCAATAATACCCCGTAAAGCTTAAAAATATTTAAATATTTTTAACGCTTTTTGGTATCCTTTACTTTAAAATCGCAATAACCTTATCCGGCAAAATTTCGACCCCGAATTTAATTATTTTAAATTTTAAAAAGTTAATATTATTCGTTTCGAATTCGCATTTAGCCGGGCTAACGTAAAGTTTAAACCGTTTAAATCGCTTTAGCACCGTTTTTATTGCTTCGCGGTGCTTTTCTTGTATTTTCGAAATAATAAAAATATCGTCCAAATACATAATGCAATTGTTATTAATTAATTTTTTAAGCGCTATATTAATAAAGCTTTGGAACGTTATTAAAGCGTTGGCCAAACCGAAAGGCATTATTAAGTATTCGTAATGTTTATATTTGCAACGGAAAGCAATTTTTTACTCGTTTTTTTATTGGATTCGTATCCTATAATAAGCGTTTTTTAAATTTAGCTTAATAAAGTACTAGCTTTTAAACACCCGGTCGAATATTTTGTAAATTAGCGGGAATGTTAGCCGGTTTTTTTTGGTAATTTTGTTAAAACCCCGATAATCGATACAAAAGCGAAGCTTCCCGTCCTTTTTTAAAACGAACAAAATCCCGGCGCCGGCGGGGCTAATTAAATGCCGGATCCAACCTTTTGCTATAGCTTTATCGAAGTACCCCCGGAAGGTTTTTAATTTTTTTTAAATAAAGGATAAATGTTTTCGTAAGGCGGTATTGTTTTTTTTTCCAATTTAATTGCGTAATTTTAGCCTGTATGTTTTAGCAAAGGGTTCGATTTATAAAGCTGCGCATATTTTGCAATTATCCTTTTAATTTATTCCGGGAAAGCTTTTAACCTTTCCCCGGGGTTTTTTGGGGTTTCCGGGCGTGCAATTGTTAATACGGTTATCGCTTATTCCAATTGGATTAATTTTTTAGCTATTTTTAACAAAATTATTTTAACCTTTTTAATAATTACCGGGAATTTTTATTTTATATTTCCTAACCGGATTTTAATGTTTTTTTGCTAAAGCCAAAACATGCTTAACGTAATGTTATACCCGGCCCGGGGCACCATTACGTAAAATATTATTAACTTTCGGGTTATTTTTTAGCTATCCGTTACCCGAATTTTATATTTTTTTACCTTTAGCGTAAGCATGCGTTTTTTGGTATCGAACCACGCCAAGTAATCCCCGTTTGGTACCGGTATTTTTTTTACTTTTATTAAAAAACGGCTATGCAATAAATTAACGTCGTTTTTATTGTTAACTAACGCTTTTAACTTTACCCGGCAACCGTTAATCCGTAAATACATTTCGGTTTTTTAGCGCGTTTTGGCCGCTAGGGCGCATTTTTAAACCCCGGTGCTTAAACGGCCAAATAGCGGTATCGAATTGGGTAGCAATATTTTGCTTTTTTTAAAGCACGCCGGCCGGATATGGCTTAGCTTTTTATACCCGTAACACCGTATTTTAAGCCTTTTCCTTTTTGCCCTTTGTATGGTCGCTAAGGCCAACGGGGTTTTCGGGTTGTTCGTTCGTATTTTGCATGCTATAGCGATGTAATTTAATTGCCCGTACTTAAAGCAAGTAACCGGCTTTTTAAAGGCTAAAATATTTGTATCCCCCGGGGTCCTTTTATACGGTCCCAATATTATTTTTGTTTTAAAAGCTTTGGTTTGCAATTTTTCCATAATGTAAAAAAAGCTTTTAAATGTTATTCGTTTTTGGATTTCGGGGCGGAACCGGTTAAAAAGCAATGTCGTTTTTATTTATTCGGGTGCTAATTTGGAAAGGTCGTTTTTTACCAAATCCTAACAAATCCGGAACGCTTTAAACGATTTGTAATTTTTTTGTTTAATAACAATATTTCCCGCAAGCTTTTTAATTGCTAGCTACATTTGCAAATCGGGGTTTTTCGACTTTATTTAAAGCTATTGCAAAAAATTGGCCCAAATAAACGATACCCCGGTATTTAGGTAATGCATTTGCTTATATTTTGTTTATTGTACCCGCTAACGATGGTCGAAAGTGCTAAAAATTATTTGGACCTTTACACGGTCCTTACCGTAACGTTCCCCTTTGCTTTCGAAAATAAATTTGTAATTGTTAATATAATAAGCAATGTTTTGCCAAATTGCCAATTTTTTAAGCATAAAAGGTTTAAAAGTAACTTTGCTTTACGTAAAACTTTTCCGTTGCTTAAAAGTATTTTTTTTATTTTCGTTTAAGCTTTTATGCGCATGCTTTAACCTTTTGTTTTGGATTTTTTAAATTAAACGGGCGCGTTTGCTTTAAGCCTTTAACGCGTTATTTATTTTTTGCAATTTTTTTACGAAAAGGTTTTTAAAATCGTCGGGAATTTGCGGGGCTTTTTTGGTATTTTGTTCCGGTAATTTAGCGGCTTTTTCCAACGTGCTTAACGTAGCGTTAAACGTTATTGTAAACGGTACGAAATCGCAAATGCCTTTTTTAAACTTGTTCGATCCTTTTCGGTAATTACCCGGGCTTGCTTCTTAAATAAAAAAGGTATAAAAAAAAAACAATATATTAAAAATTAATCGGTGCAAAAGCGGGTAATTACCGGGTTACGGGCCGGATACGGTATTTTTTTTATTAAATTTCCGTAAATTTTTTACTAAAGGTGCTATTATTAACAAAAATTGTTTTTTTTTTAACCTTCCCTTTTTTCGTGCCCTTTCGGGCATTTGGGGTCGGTTTTTTAAATCCTTTGCGTTTTAAACGCTTTCGTGCAATTTAAGCTTTACCCTATTTTTTAATTTTGCCATTATGCTTTGGCCGCGATACCGGTAATTTGCCGGCATGTTCCCGGGGGGTTTGTGCCCGATTGGCTGCTAGCGCCCCTTTCTTCCTTTTTTGCCGGGCGGTTTCGCCCGTGCATTTAACGCTCCCCGCTTTTTGCCGGGCGGTTTTGCCCGTGCTTTTAATATGCTTCCCTTTATTATTTTTAAAGGAAAAAGCGTGCAAAAGCAATAATTTCCTGCAAATTTAAGCCCTTTCCGAAGCTAGGAATTTACTGCTACAAATAACGGCTGGACCACGGATTTTACGGGCTTAAAATGGCTGCAAAAGGTATTCCTCCCACGCACCCAACCCTTTACCTTTAAAGCCCGTTTCTTAATTTTAAATAGGCACGGATTGCACGTTACCAAAAAGTTTATATCTTTTTACTTACGGAATAACGTTGTCCTCGTAGCGCAGTGGTTTAACGCTGGGAGGTCCTCTTTGGAAGACGCAGGTTCGACTCCTGCCGGGGATACCGGGTTTTTTGTTTCGCACGTGCAAAAAAGCGATTTATTAAGCCCTAAACCGTTCCAACGTTTTTCCGAACAATTGGTCCCTATAACAAAAAAAGCCCACAGCAACAAAAGATTTTATCCTTATCGACGAGCTTTATAGCACTTACGTGCAACCTCCTTTCGATTTTAGCAAAGCCATTTGCAACCTATTAGCGGGATTCCTTACCCCCGAGCTTTGTAACGCACGTGCCAAAGGTTTAAGCAAAAGGCCCCTTTAAAGCACGTGCAGCTTGTGGACGCATAAGTTATAAAGCAAGCAAAAAAATAAGGATTTCGGGCCAAAATAAATCCGACCGGCTATCGGAATAATAGCGCCGGGGTTGCGGCAAAGGATAAAGGTACCGATAGCAACGAAAATAACTTTAATAACAAAGTTGGCCGATAAAATAATGGTACCAATTAAAAAAAAAGGAAAGGACCGCTTTCGAAAGGGCGCGCTTGGGCCGGAAAATAAAAGGAATACGCTTTGGCTGGAAAAGGTAAAACTTAATAATTAACGAATAAACTTTATGGTAAAATAAAATATTGCTAATTTGGTTGTTTGGATTTCGCAAATAAAACCCGGATTATAATGTGCTATTTAAAATCGTAGCGCGTAAATTGTAACGCGCTTCCTATGTACGTTCGTATTCGTACCTTTTTAATTATTAATGTAATTCCATATGCAGGATTTTTACTTACGAAAAAAACGCGCAATTGCAAAGCTTTCGAAAAAAAAGGGTTTTTATCCAGCTTTATACCAAATAGCTATTGGCTGGAGGTACGGTTTCCTTTTTTATGTAATTAACCCGATCCGTAATGTGTTAAAAGCACGGGCGAAACCGCCCGGCAAAAAGCGGAAAGCGTTAAATGCACGGGCGAAACCGCCTGGTAAAAAAGGAAGAAAGGGGCGTTAATAACCAGCCGGGCACGGACCCCCCGGGGATATGCCGGCAAATTACCGGTATTGCGGCCAAAGCATAATGGCGAAGTTAAAAAATAAAATAAAATTTAAATTGCACGAAAGCGCTTGGAGCGCAAAAAATTTAAAAAACCAACCCCGGGTGCCCAAAAGGGCACGAAAAAAGGAAAAGTTAAAAAAAAACAATTTTTGTTAGCGATAGCATTTTTGGTAAAAAATTTACGAAAATTTAATAAAAAAAATACCGTATCCGGCCCGTAACCCGGTAATTACCCGCTTTTGCACCGATTAACCCTTAATATATTATTTTTTTTTTATACCTTTTTTATTTAAAAAGCAAGCCCGGGTAATTACTAAAAGGGATCGAACAAGTTTAAAAAAGGCATTTGCGATTTTGCACCGTTTATAATAACATTTAACGTTACGTCGAACACGTTGGAAAGGGCCGTTAAACTACCGGAACAAAATATTAAAAAAGCCCCGCAAATTCCTAACAATTTTAAAAACCTTTTCGTAAAGGAATTGCAAAAAATAAACGACGCGCTGGAAGCCCAAAGCAAACGCGCCCGTTTAATTTAAAAAATCCAAAATAAAAGGGCAAAATATACGCATAAAAGCTTAAACAAAAATAAAAAAACATTTTTAAGCAACGAAAAGGTTTTACGTAAAGCAAAGTTATTTTTAAACCTTCCATGCTTAAAAAGTCGGCAATTTGGCAAAACATTGCTTATTACATTAACAATTACAAATTTATTTTCGAAAGCAAAAAGGGACGTTACGGTAAGGACCGTATAAAAGTTTAAATAGCTTTTAGCACTTTTAATTATCGTTAGCGAGCATAATGGACAAAATACAAACAAATGTATTACTTAAATACCAAGGTATTGCTTATTTAGGCCGATTTTTTGCGGTAATTTTAAACAAGGTCGAAAAACCCCGATTTACAAATGTAATTAGCAATTAAAAAGCTCGCGGGAAACATTATTATTAAGCAAAAAAATTACGAATTGTTTAAAGCGTTTCGAATTCGTTAGGATTTGGTAAAAAACGACCTTTCCGAATTAGCACTTAAATAAATAAAAACGACATTGCTTTTTAACCGGTTCCGCCCCGAAATCCAAAAACGGGTAACATTTAAAAGCCTTTTTTACATTATGGAAAAATTGTAAGCCAAAGCCTTTAAAGCAAAAATAATATCGGGACCGCACAAAGGGACCCCGGGGGATATAAGTATTCCAGCCCTTAAAAAGCCGGTTACCTGCTTTAAATGCGGGCAATTAAACCATATCGCTATAGCATGCAAAATACGAACGGATAACCCGGAAACCCCGTTGGCCCTAACAATTACACAAAAGGCGAAAAGGAAAAAGCCCGAAGTACGGTATTACGGGTATAAGAAATTGGGCTATATCCGGCCGGCGTGCCCCAAAAAAAGCAAAATATCGCTATTTAACTTAATACCGCTATTTGGCCGTTTAAGCACCGGGGCTTAAAAGTACGCCCCGGCGGTTAAAACGCGCTAAAAAACCGAAATGTATTTACGGATTAACGGTTGCCGGGTAAAATTAAAAGCGCTGGTTAACAATAAAAGCAACGTTAACTTATTGTACAGCCGTTTTTTGGTGGAAGCAAAAAAAACACCGGTGCCAAACGGGGGCTATTTGGCGTAATTCGATACTAAAAAATGCATGCCCACGCTAAAGGTAAAAAAATACAAAATTTGGGTAACGGATAGTTAGGGAATAACCCGAAAATTAATAATGTTTTACGTAATAATGCCCCGGGCCGGGTATAACATTACGTTAAGCATGCTTTGGCTTTAGCAAAAAAACATTAAAATCCGGTTTAAGGATATAAAGTAAAGGTTTCCGGTAATTATTAAAAAGGTTAAAATAATTTCGTTGGAAATAACCAAAAAGCTAATTTAATCGGGACAAGCAATAACCGTGCTAACGGTTGCACGTTCGGAAACCCCGAAAAACCCCGGGGAAAAGCTAAAAGCTTTCCCGGAATGGGTTAAAAAAATAATTGCAAAATATGCGTAGCTTTATAAATTAAACCCTTTGCTAAAACATATAAGCTAAAATTACGCAATCGAATTAAAAAAAAAACAATGCCGCTTTACAAAAGCATTTATTTTTTATCCAAAAAAAATTAAAAACCTTTCGGGGGTATTTCGATAAAGCTATAGCAAAAGGTTGGATCCGGCATTTAATTAACCCCGCCGGCGCCGGAATCCTATTCGTTTTAAAAAAGGACGGAAAGTTTCGCTTTTGTATCGATTATTAAGGTTTTAATAAGGTTACCAGGAAAAACCGGTTAATATTCCCGTTAATTTACAAAATATTTAACCGGGTATTTAAAAGCTAGTACTTTATTAAATTAGATTTAAAAAACGCTTATTACAAAATACGGATTTAATAAAAAAACGAATGGAAAATTGCTTTCCGTTGCAAATATAAATATTACAAATACTTAGTAATGCCTTTCGGTTTGGCCAACGCTTTAACAACGTTCCAAAGCTTTATTAATATAGCGCTTGGGAAATTAATTAATAGCAATTGCATTGTATATTTAAACGATATTTTTATTTTTTCGAAAATATAGGAAAAGCACCGCAAAGCAATAAAAACGGTGCTAAAACGATTCGAACGGTTTAAGCTTTACGTTAACCCGGCCAAATGCAAATTCGAAACGGATAGTATCGATTTTTTAAGGTTTAGGATAACCAAATTCGGGGTTAAAATCTTACCGGATAAAGTTATTGCAATTTTAAAATAAAGGATACCGGAAAGCGTTAAAAACATTTAGGTATTTTTGGGCTTTACGGGGTATTATCGGAAATTTGTAAAGGGTTACGCGAAAATTACTATGCTTTTAACGAACTTTTTTAGCAAAAATACCGTATTTTACTTAAGGAATGTTGCGAAAAAGGCTTTTTGCAAATTAAAATTGCTATTTACAAAAGCTTTGGTATTAATGCATTTCGACTTTTTGAAGCCGCTGTACGTACGGACCAACGCTTTGGCTTTTGCAATAAAAACGGTATTATTGCAATTATAAAACGGCCGATAGCACCCAGTAACTTACATATCGAAAAAGCTGCAATAAAAAAAGCTACGTTATGCAATTTTTAATTTAAAATTGTTAGCAATCGTAAAAGCTTTCGAAAAGTAACGGCATTACTTAGCTTATTTACAAAAAATTGTTAAAATAATTACCAACCATTTAAATTATACCCATATTTTAATAAAGGAAAAGGTAATAAAGCGCTAAATAAAATGGTTTGAAAATTTAGCAAAGTACGATTTTATAATTAAATAAAAGCCAAAATACCGGAACCCCGCGAATGGCTTGTTAAAACGTTTTTAAAATATACCAATAAACGGGAAAGCCAATATAGCAAAAAAAAAATTCCAAAGCAATTTGCTAGCCAAATTCCGAAAAGCAACTTACGTAAGGACAATTACTATTAAAAAAAACATTAAAACGATATTAAAACGCATTTTCGAAGCATAAATAAAAAACAATTTCGTTTAAAGCGGTATTTAAAAAAACAAATTTAACGTTTAAAAAATTAATAACGGTTTGTTTAAGCATAAAAAAAAAGTTTAAATTCCAAATTTAGCACCGTTTAAACGGGCAATGCTTTAAAAACAATACAATAACCCAACGGGGGGTTACAAAAGCATAGCCAAAATTTTAAAAAAGTTTAAACAGCAATTTAAATGGCCGGGTATGGTTAAAAATGTACGCAAATACGTACGGACGTATTAAATATACCAATAAACAAAACCAAAAATACAAGTACTTTACGGGCTATTAGCATTTTTGCCCGTACCAAATCGCCCGAAACAAAAGCTATCGATAAATTTTATCGGAAAATTTTTAACGTTGGTAAATGGAACCGGCAAAAAGCGCAACGCAATATTGGTAATGGTTAACCGGTTTACCAAATATAGCTTTTTTATCCCAACGTTTATAAAATTAACCAATAAAAGATTAGGGAATTTTTTGTTTGCATACGTTTAAAGGCTGCTAGGAACGTTCGAAAAGATTATATCGAACCGGAATAAATTATTTACAAACGGGTTTTAAATAACTTTCGCCGGATACTTAAAAATCGAAAAAAAATTATTAATAGCATACCATTTTTAAATTAACGGGCAAACGGAACGGACAAACCAAGCAATAAAGCATTACTTCCGGTGCTTTTATTGCGAAAAGCAAAACGATTGGGCGTTGCTATTGCATTTAACAGCGTAAATGCACAATACGAACGTACATTTAGGGTTGCAAAAAACCCCGGCGTTTTTATTAATAAGGTTTTACTTACGAAAGCTTTATAACCTTTGGGTGGTTAAAAAAAAACCTTCGGCAACGGTTAAAATTAAAACGGGGGCCTTGGAAGCAATTAAAAAGCAAGCCAAAAAATTGCTAAAAAAAGCGAATAATATGTACAAAAAGTATTATAATAAAGGCAGGACCCCGGTGCTTTTCGGGGTAAGCAATTAAGTATTGCTAAATACGGCGAACATTAAAATAAAAAGGCCGTCGAAAAAGCTATCGAACAAATGGTTAAAACCTTTTTAAATTTTAAAAATAATTGGGTTAGCCGGTTTAGCGTTCCGGTTAAAGCTCCCGGTAAATTACCGGATATATAACGTATTTCCGGCAAATTTATTGCGGGCGTTTAAAAAAAAAGCCCGGCGAAAAACCAAA